TGAAAATGTGTCATATGACTTGTGTGAAATGCCAACTGACTATAATTTATTTAACAGGAAAACAAAAAAAGTATAATTCTATGTGTAATAAAACAGAAATTCCAAATGCTGCTCTTGGCCTGTTTCAAGTTGCTGAACTTGGCACTGCACTCCATGCTGGACTGTTTGTTGTTTTTTTTTTTCTCTGCACTGTCTTCAGTGAAGTTTTTTTCACCTGTCTCAATTTCTGGGCAGATAAGTGTGTTTAAAGCTATCTGTGTTTTGGCAGCTTATTGCAAATCTGCGAATGAAATGATATGGAGCAGCAAAGGCGTCTTGTTGGGTTCATAATCAACAGGAATAGCTGGAAATTGTAGCAGAGTAAGTGGCATATTCCACAGCAAAGGCACTAGCTGGAGGTAGCAACAAAATGATATGAAGAAAGTTACACCTTAACACTCAGAGAAACAGAAATGCAGTTTCTCAGAGAATTAAATACATGTTGAGGTTTTCACATCATTTACAGAAAGCTCTTGAAGAAAGTGCAGCAGCATTGCCCATGAGGTTATAAATGTTTCCAGATACTTTCAGAGTTTGCCTTCTGTCAAACATGAAAGGATTTTTTTTTTAAACAGAAGAAGGAGAAAGTTGTGAGGAAACACCAAAATATTTAGAAAATGGCAAAGAACTTGCTAATATCTGACTTGAAATAGGAGCACTTCCATGCACTGGTGGAGCTGGCATCAGTTCTCTCAGAAGCTTCACCTGAGCTAGCAGGTGTGTCCAGAGAATCTGCCTGGGAATTTCAGCAGTGCCCCATCCCTGGAAGCACAAGTGCCAGACTGATGCAGTTCTACTCTAGCAAATTCAAAATCAGAATTTCCTCTATAATCTCTAAATTTAGGTAGTTTTGAATGCCACTTCCCAAGCTAAATTTAAAAGCCATCCTCTTCTGCCATAAGTGTGCTCCTAAAATCAGAAACGATGAATGTGTAGGGATTATACGTGAATCAGATATTTCTATCATTTGTAATTTAGTTGTAATAACAGTCTCACTTTTAACGTGTCCTTAGTGATTATTATACTTTTGTAGTCTCTGGTTTCTCTCAAAATGGACGTGTCAAACCAAGTGTCAGAGTAAGATCATTTGTGACCTTTCTAATTGCCTAACGAAGTGCAGCTGTGTACACGGAATAAAATATTTCAGTGAAACAACTGTTGCTCACATAACTGTACCTAAAAAACTCGAATTTGCACGATTCTTGAAACCTGCTGCAAAATTATTTAACAGGGCAGGTGTTTTGATCCCAGCTAGCCACCTTGAAACTGGAATTTGCTGCCTGAAATCAACAAAAAGCAACTATGAAAGAATTTATTATAGAAATGAAAAAAAAATGTTGGATGGGAACAGAGTTCCTGTGCTGCCCTTCCAAAAGCCAGACATGTTTTGTCTTTCAACTTCAGTGGCTGTTATTTAGATCTGCACAGCCTAAGGTCGCGTGGTTATTGTCCTGATGTTTATAATCCAGCTGAAAGTCAGGCTCCAGTGTGGCAGGCACAATACAAGAGAGATAGGAAGAATGAAGTTCTGCACCAGAGACCTTGCAGTCGAACACGGAGCGAACAAGTAATTTTTAAGGGGGAAAAGGAGTGTATTGAGATGTAATAAAATCACGTTCTGCCACCGCCTTGTGGAAGTTCCCAGAGAAAGGCGCTGCTTTGAGCCACCGCATCTGCCTCTCGCAGTCTGGCGCTCGGGAGATTCCTCCCCGCTCCACCAGCGCTGTCACACTGCTGTTATTAGTTGATGGCTCTCCATGTGCCATGAACCGACCCGGGACCTGAGGGCCGTAGGTATAAAATCTCCCCGATCCCGGCGCGGGATGTCCGGGATGGGGCCGAGAGAAGCCGCGGAGCGCTGGAGCGGGGCGGGCAGGGCCAGGGGCTGCAGGGCCAGGGGCTGCGGGTCCCGGTGCCCCCCGGCCCGCGGAGCCCCCGCCCGGCCGCTGCCCTGCGGCAGGGCCAGCAGCGCGCCAGCCGCCCCGGTTATTTATAGCTCCGCGCCGCTTCCAGCCCAAAATTAGCCTGCTGGCCGCAGGGGGGGTCTGGCAGCGCGGCGGGCGAGGGGCCGGGCACGGCTCGGCTCGGCTCGGGGCGGCGGGGCCGGGGCAGCTGCCGCGGCGCGGGGCTCGCCTGGAATGCGGGCGCGCGCCGCGACTTTTATGGAAACTTGCGGCGGCGGCCGCAGCCAAGGGGCGCTCGGCAGAGCAGCCCGCCCGGAGCGCCCCGAGCCGCAGCGCGGGCAGGCGCAGGTAAGAGCGGCTCCGCCGCCGCCGCCGCCTCGGGGCTCCGCGGGCTCGGCTCCCCCGCTCCGCCCCGCTGTCCCCGCTCCCCTCGGCCGGACCCGCCGCGGCAGCGCCGTCTCCTCCCGCCGCCCCCTCACGGCCCCGCGCGGCGCCCCCGGGCCGAGAACAGCCCCGGGGATGGGGGCAGCGACGGCCGCGGTTGCCGGGGAGGGACCCCGGGCTGAAGAGGGACCCCCGGCTGGGGAGGCAGCCGCGGGCAGCGCCGGGGCGGGGGAGCCGCAGCCGGGCGGGAGCGGGGCTGGGAGCGTCGCGCGGGGCTCCCTCACGGCCCGGGGCTCCCCTCACGGCTCGGGGTCCCCTCACGG